CATCTATGCGTGCCGTATATGTTCTCTGTATTCCCTCTATTTCAGCAATCTCTCCTGCTCTGAAGGGGGAAGTGAGTACTGAGCAGTACTCAAGACGGGACAACACAAGTGACTTGAAGAGTACAACCATTGTGATGGGATCCCTGGATTTGAAAGTTCTCGACATTTGATTGATTATGGCTTTTGACTATCTAATGCAATTATTAGAAACATACAAATTAAAGAAATTAATTCAGATTTAGAACAACTAAGAAATGCCCAGAGACCTGAAAGCTGCAATATTAAAAAGTATGAAAACTTTTGTAATAATATGTATTTGTGTAGTCAGCAAAGTAGCCGGACCAGGCAATGTGATATAGTCATTGCGCGAATTCGCCTTGGCTATAGCCACATCTGGCAGGTTAGTGGGCCTGAGCCACTACCAGAATATACAGTTTGTAAACGCTGTGACAAACCTTTAATGCATTCACTAGAACACTATATTGTTGAATGTGAAACCGTAAAAGACTTTAGACCTCCTGGCCTCTTGTACCACCAACGGTGTAACTATTTCAATGAGTCAGGTGTTATGGACGACATCCTAACAATTTATCCAAAATGTGCTTGTTCATTTTAAAGAATGAAGAATTTTTTTTATGTATATTACTTCTAAGCTGCATCTCTTATGAACCACATCCTTGTTCTTGTGTGGCAGTGAACAATAGAAAGTTGCTTTCATATATTCATACATTAAAACATTCATTGTAACCATAATATATATGTGCTTCAGCCCACAATTTAAACTCATTGTCTTGTGTATGACCCTCTGTCCTGTGTGACAGTGAATACCAGCATTATCCTCACTTTAAGAAGAATTAATTTAAATACTCAGATTAGGAAAAATTTTAATTGATTTTTTCAATAAAGGTGCTAATAATAATAAAACTTTGTGCTTAACCTCAGGCAGGTTAAACTTTGTGCTTAACCTCAGGCAGGTTAAACTTCCTGTTTAACCTCAGTACTTCTTAAACTTGTGAGCTTCACCTCTTCTTTTTCTTCATAGGTTTATTTCTCATCTGTCCTTCCTACATAGATGAGTCAAACCTCTGTAATTCATACTCAGGTGCGTCTGACCTCTGTCGGTTCAACCCAGGTGTGTTCTACATGTGTCTTCCTACCCAGCGGCGCTTTACATGTATCCATCCAACGCAGGAGTCCTTTTCCCATTCATCTTAAATAGGTGTGCTTGTTTTCTGTTCTTCATTACGAGTGTGAATATCATATGCTTCTTTGCCCCCTGTCCTACCTACATAGATGTGTATGAATTCTTACACAGGTGTGCTTCAATCAATTTCTCATAAACTCAGGTGTGCTTTACATATATCCTTTCTAAACAGATAGTGTTTAATCACTATCCTTCCCATAAAATTGTTTAATCTGTCGTTACTACACTGATGTGCTTTACATGTGTTCTCCCTATGCATGTGTGCTTCACCGGTGTTATTCGTAGTCGATGAGCTTCACTATTATTCGTTTTACATAGGTGTACTTCACATATGGCTTTCGTAAACATGTGTTTAACATCTGTTTTTTTTTTACAAAAAGTGTTTAAACTCTCGTTCTAAGAATTCGTTCCAAGAATTCATAAGAATTTAATCTCCGTCATTCATACACAGGTTTGTTTATCCTCTGCAGTTCCTTAACAGGTGTGCTTCAGCTTTGTGCTACAGACACAGGTGTAACATAACTCTTAGTTATTAGTGCTTTAAATGAAATATTCATCTCTATTTCCTTGTCTTACCTTGAATGTCTAATTTTTACTAATCCAAGGAATTATTTCTGACCAAATGTTATGATTAGAACTTCATGCATAGAGGTGATGAAAGGCATGAAAATTGATTGTAAAACATTCTTAGGTAACCTTGGAGGAGGTGGTCCATGGGGCGAGGGAGGGAGGAGAGGCGCCAGTGGTGGACCAGCAGGACGCCAGCCTCGCCGGTGTTGCAGTAGAGACACTGCCGGTACACCCATACTCCATCTCCAGCTGTTGAGGCTGCCCAGGGTGCTAGAAAACACACACACATATTATCTAACTTATATGTACAACTATGTGAAAAATATATATATTGAAATTCTCGCCTGGACTCGAGCTGAGGGTTAATGAGTCAAGAGTCCTTCTACCTGAAAGAGGGACGAGAACCATGAGAACCACTCGCAGCACAGTTTGTCGTAGATCCTAATTAAGATGCACACCTGTTCGATTCAGTCATCTGTATCACCTTTTCCAGTCAAGCTGAATTTTAAATGATAAGCGTACATGCATGCAACTAGGCATGCAAGTGCTACCAAATATTTTTAAAATGATCCCATATGTAGATAAAAGGATCCCATAAGTCGTTAAAATGAACCTTATGTCGCAAAAACCAACTCGTGTGAAATGCACCCATTTGCAACTACAATAGATCCATTTGCATTTAAAATCACCCTGAATGTAGGTAAAATATTTCTAGATGTTACTAAAGTGGACCCGTGTGAAGCTAGAAGGGTTCAGTAAGTAGGTAATATGTATCTGTTTGCAGCTAAAATGGATCCGCAAGGAGTGAAACCTGTATGCAGGAAATATTTATCCGTTTACAGCTAAATTAGCCCAGTATGAAAGTCAAATTGACCCATATGTATGTAATATGTACAAGTTTGCAATTAAACGGATCTGGCATTAAGCAAAAATGGGCCTATATGTAAATAATTTGTAGCCGTTTGCAGCTAAAACGGATCCGTATTTACACAATATGTACCGATTTGCATCTAAATGGATCAGTATGAAACTAAAATTGACCCGGATGTAGATAATATATTCTCGTTTATACATAAATTTTACCTGTATGAAGAAAAAAAGTACCCGTATGTCAATAATATATACCTACACACAGTAATCACAATAGCGAGTTCTATCTAATTAAGCAATCCACAAAGGTCGTGAAGAGGGTTCGAACCTATGCACGGGATGTGGGAACCGACCTGTGAGATTTATATTTAATTTAATTTATATGAATTTATATAGAATTTATATTTACGTTAATTAGGGGGGTACCACCACTGGTGCAATTATGGTGTACACTTTATTATGCAAGGTTATTGAGTTACATATCTGATTTTATACAAAACTTAACATTAAGAGGACACAAAAAAAAGTTTGCTTCCTAGAGGCTGTAGATTTCCTCGAACTCCTCCGACGCCGGGCAGGAACCGAGGATCCAGCGAGCATTCCCCCTCTGGATCGCGACACTGAGGCGCTGAAAGAGAAAACTTGCTGCTCTAGGGTATCTTGTGGTGTCAATGAGCTTTGAACCAAGATCCTTAAGAAACCTTCTTGCACTCTCTCCCCATGGGCCTAGGGTCTCAGACCCTATTGGAACGAAGTTGTACCGATGATCTAATTGCCTGTACTTGGCTGACTTGTCTCTTTCTCTGCGTGTCGCCGCGGCTCCTGCTGTGCCGGCAGAGAGGTTGATAAAAGGGGCCGTTTACGTTAATTTATATTTCGATAGCAATTTGTATGATCTTAAGTGAACTATATTTCTGCAATAATCTCACAAATCGATACACTACACATCAGGGGGGTTTATATTGAATTTATATATATGCAGCCAATCAAACTACAGTATTAAACTACATATATTAGTATACATTGAGGAGGTTCCTTATCTTATTGTACAGCCAGCTTAGTCCACCAGATATAACTGGGATGTAGACACCAAATTATCCTCTTTGAGGTAGCTTCCATCACCCAGTAACTGGTACACAAAGTTTGCTTCCTCTTCTTGACCTGTCAAAGGCACTAGCTGTAAAGCCAGAATCCTAATATATGACAGCTATATCAGAGAAAACACTGTACAAGGAATCAGAAAAGGACCAAGGCTTAGTTACCTTTTTTGAGTCGATCATTTGTGCTCTCACCGGTTCGCCCAAAATATCTACCTAACATTAATGGCCAAAAATGATTAGATAAACGGGTTTCGGAAAGACACCTCCCTTGTATTGATGACAGCGTGTTGATGATGGCAGACCTTTGGTTTCCATAACACTTCGTCCAAGAGAATTTATATTGGAGCCGAATTTGCCTCACGACTCTGTGATCTAACAACAATGGCTGACCACTCCTTCCTCACTGACGCTACTGGCCTATTTGTCCAGATATCAGAAAGTGATAGAAGGGTCACATTTACTCTATTTTAATACTGACAATTAAATTAATTCAAATGAGATGTTTTATGATGGTAAAAGTCCAAAGACTAAAGTATTTAAGAATAATTCCCACCATAACAGGTGGTGAATTTATAATAGTATGTGGCAATGATATCCCGTTTTCTATAGATAGAAAATTCCACTTCAAGTTACATTTTCTAGGGGTAACTTGTGTATTCAATGGCAGCACTATTATCTGCCTGTATGTAATATTATTAAATGGAGTCGGATTTTCCGACACGGGAAGCCCAGCCGTGCTTTAGTCAACTGTGCCATGACATGGTTAAAAGAATTGCAACTTGTGAGGGGCAGTAGCACTCCAGGTTGCAATTCTTTTAACCATGTCATGGCCCAGTTGATTAAGGTGCAGCTGAGAAAATCCCGTGCGTAGGTTCGAGCCCTTATCAGGACCTTTTTGGATTTGTTTAATATGTACCTGTTTGCAGCTAAAGTGAACTTAAACTTAAATTTGACTCATATGTAAATAAATTGAAATGACAGAAGCTAAATTGTGGTCTCATATGTAGTGAAAACAGATCCAAACTTAGTCAAAATTAATCGACTTGTAACTTAAATTAACCGAAATGTAACTATAATTGAACCGTATGTTAAAAAATGGACTTGTTAATAGTTAAAATGAACCCGTGTGTAGCTAAAACTGCAGCGGTATGAAGCACAAGTGGACGCGTAAGTAGTTACCAATGACACCCAACAACATTACGAGTCACACTATATGTACCTGTACATGGTACCATACATGTACCTGTACATGGTACCATACATGTACTTGTACATGGTACCATACATGTACTTGTACATGGTACCATACATGTACCTGTACATGGTACCATACATGTACTTGTACATGGTACCATACATGTACCTGTACATGGTACCATACATGTACTTGTACATGGTACCATACATGTACCTGTACATGGTACCATACATGTACTTGTACATGGTACCATACATGTACTTGTACATGGTACCATACATGTACCTGTACATGGAACAAGTACATGTATGGTACCATACATGTACTTGTGCATGGTACCATACATGTACCTGTACATGGTACCATACATGTACCTGTACATAGTACCATATATGTACCTGTACATGATACCATATATGCACCTGTACATGGTACCATACATGTACTTGTACATGGTACCATACATGTACTTGTACATGGTACCATACATGTACCTGTACATGGTACCATACATGTACTTGTACATGGTACCATACATGTACTTGTACATGGTACCATACATGTACTTGTACATGGTACCATACATGTACCTGTACATGGTACCATACATGTACTTGTACATGGTACCATACATGTACCTGTACATGGTACCATACATGTACTTGTACATGGTACCATACATGTACCTGTACATGGTACCATACATGTACTTGTACATGGTACCATACATGTACTTGTACATGGTACCATACATGTACCTGTACATGGTACAAGTACATGTATGGTACCATACATGTACTTGTGCATGGTACCATACATGTACCTGTACATGGTACCATACATGTACCTGTACATAGTACCATATATGTACCTGTACATGATACCATATATGCACCTGTACATGGTACCATACATGTACTTGTACATGGTACCATACATGTACTTGTACATGGTACCATACATGTACCTGTACATGGTACCATACATGTACTTGTACATGGTACCATACATGTACTTGTACATGGTACCATACATGTACTTGTACATGGTACCATACATGTACTTGTACATGGTACCATACATGTACCTGTACATGGTACCATACATGTACTTGTACATGGTACCATACATGTACTTGTACATGGTACCATACATGTACTTGTACATGGTACCATACATGTACCTGTACATGGTACCATACATGTACTTGTACATGGTACCATACATGTACTTGTACATGGTACCATACATGTACTTGTACATGGTACCATACATGTACCTGTACATGGTACCATACATGTACTTGTACATGGTACCATACATGTACTTGTACATGGTACCATACATGTACTTGTACATGGTACCATACATGTACTTGTACATGGTACCATACATGTACTTGTACATGATACCATATATGTACCTGTACATGGTACCATATATGTACTTGTACATGATACCATATATGTACCTGTACATGGCACCATATATGTACCTGTACATGGTACCATATATGTACCTGTACATGATACCATATATGTACCTGTACATGATACCATATATGTACCTGTACATGGCACCATATATGTACCTGTACATGGTACCATATATGTACCTGTACATGATACCATATATGTACCTGTACATGGTACCATACATGTACTTGTACATGATACCATATATGTACCTATACATGGTACCATATATGTACCTGCACATGGTACCATATATATATATACCTGTACATTGTACCATATATGTACCTATACATGGTATCATATATGTACCTTTACATGGTACCATATATGTACCTGTACATGATACCATATAAACCTACAAAAGTCTTTGCAAGTAGATGCAAATGAAACCCTGTGTAGTTATGAATTGAACCTTAGTAAGTTACATATGGCACTGTATGTAGCTACAAACGGTACCTTAAGTATACAAATGGTACCATATGTATATACAAATGGTACTATATGTATATACAGCAAGCAGCTACAAATAGTACCATATGTAGAAGCAAATAAGAATATCTGAAGCTGGAAATGCTTCTGTATGTATGTAGAAATTGAACTGTATAATACTACAGATTGAAGACCTGTGGGCAGTGCAGAATGGGAGTTGAGGAAGGCGTTACCAGCTGACCTGGTGGGTTTCTCCTCATGGATCCCAAACTGGATGTGATTGGCTCGCAGGTTTCTGTAAATGTTTCCGAAACGTTATGTGATTGATCGTCAGATTTCTCAGTATGGATCCCAAACTGTATGTGACTGGCTTTGGTGGATCTCCTTGTGGATCCCAAACTGTATGTGACTGGCTTTGGTGGATCTCCTTGTGGATCCCAAACTGTATGTGACTGGCTTTGGTGGATCTCCTTGTGGATCCCAAACTGTATGTGACTGGCTTTGGTGGTTCTCCTCAAGGATCCCAAACATTATGTAACTGGCTTATCAAAGTCTGTGGGAGGCTTATTAGATGCTTGATGACAATTCTTACCTGAAATCTGCCCAAATAAAATAATACAGTCGAGTTAAGGATCAGAAGGGCATATCTTAGGATCGGAAGGGTATACCTAAGGATCAAAAGGGTATATCTTAGAATCAGAAGGGTATACCTTAGGATCAAAAGGGTATATCTTAGGATCAGAAGGGTATACCTTAGGATCAGAAGGGTATACCTTAGGATCAGAAGGGTATACCTTAGCATCAGAAGGGTATATCTTAGGATCAGAAGGGTATATCTTAGGATCAGAAAGGCATATCTTAGGATCAGAAGGTTATTCCTTAGGATCAGAAGGGTATACCTTAGGATCAGAAGGGTATACCTTAGAAACAGAAGGGTATATCTTAGGATCAGACGGGTATATCTTAGGATCAGACGGGTATATCTTAGGATCAGAAGGGTATATCTTAGGATCAGAAGGATATTCCTTAGGATCAGAAGGGTATATCTTAGAATCAGAAGGGTATTCTTTAGGATCAGAAGGGTATATCTCTTAGGATCAGAAGGGTATTCCTTAGGATTAGAAGGGTATATCTTAGGATCAGAAGGGTATTCCTTAGGATCAAAAGGGTATATTTTAGGATCAGAAGGGTATTCCTTAGGATCAGAAGGGTATATCTCTTAGGATCAGAAGATATATCTTAGGATCCTAAGGGGTATGTCTTAGAATCATTTGGATATATCTTAGAATCAGATAGATATATCTTAGGATCGGAAGGGTATATCTTAGGATCAGAAGGGTATATCCTAGAAACAAAAAGGTATATCTAAGGATCAGAGAGGGCTTATTTTAGGACCAAACGTATATCTTTGGGTCAGAAGAGTATATCTTAGGATCTGAAGGGCAAATCAGAAAATCAGAATGGTATATCAGAGGATCAGAAGGGTATTTATGGGTAAGAGATAGGGGGAATTATATTAAGGGTTTGCTATTCGGGAGCTGGAATTTGTGATATAGTAAACAACATACCAGGGAGTTCCTATTTATGACCACCCAATCCCACTCATATACATGTCTAACTCACGTTTGAAACAATCAAGGAACCCCACCCCCACCACGTTACGCGGTAATTGGTTCCACAAATCAACAACCCTGTTACCGAACCAGTATTTATCCAGGTCCTTCCTAAATCCGAACTTATCCAATTTATACTCATTCATTTGTGTTGTCTAGTGTTGATACTTTTAATACCCTATTAATATCTTTTTTGTTATGCCCATTCATCCACTTGCACACCTCTATCATGTCACCCTCAGTTCTTCGCCTTTCAAGAGAATGTAATTTAAACTTTGTCAATCTTTCTTCATTTGACAGGTTTCTAATTTGAGGTATTAAATTTATCATCCTACACTGAACGCTTTCTAGTGAGTTTATATCCATTCTGTAGTATAGCGACCAAAACTGAACAGCATAATCTAAATGGAACTTAACCAGAGCAAGATATAGCTGAAGAACAACACCAGATGTCTTATAAGGAACGCTTCGATTAATAAATCCCAGTGTCCTATTTGCCTTATTAAGAACATTTATGCATTGATTTTTTTGTTTTAAATTCTTACTAATCATAACTCCCAAATCTCTTTCGCAATCCGTCTTCGCAATCTTAACACTATCTAGCTCGTATCTTGTAACTCTATTATCATTACCTAGCCTCAAAACCTAATATTTGTCAGCATTAAACTGCATCTGTCAATCTTTTTACCTTTTTAAACCCCTTTTTAGATAATCTTGATGTGATAGAGAATCTTTTTCCGTGTTTATTTCCCTTCCGATTTTTGTATCATCTGCAAATTTGCAAATACTGGTGCTCAAACCTTAATCTAAATCATTTATGTATATTATGAATAATAGAGGTCCCAGGACAGAGCCTTGAGGCACTCCTACAACATTTTCGCACACTTACAACATTTCTCCACTCATTCTAGAGTGGGAGAACTTGTCATGTCTTACTGACCAGCCATGTCTTACTGACCAGTCATGTCTTACTGACCAGCAATGTCTTACTGACCAGTCATGTCTTACTGACCAGCAATGTCTTACTGACCAGTCATGTCTTACTGACCAGCCATGTCTTACTGACCAGCCATGTCTTACTGACCAGCCATGTCTTACTGACCAGCAATGTCTTACTGACCAGTCATGTCTTACTGACCAGCAATGTCTTACTGACCAGCCATGTCTTACTGACCAGCCATGTCTTACTGACCAGCCATGTCTTACTGACCAGCAATGTCTTACTGACCAGTCATGTCTTACTGACCAGTCATGTCTTACTGACCAGCAATGTCTTACTGACCAGTCATGTCTTACTGACCAGCAATGTCTTACTGACCAGCAATGTCTTACTGACCAGCAATGTCTTACTGACCAGCAATGTCTTACTGACCAGTCATGTCTTACTGACCAGTCATGTCTTACTGACCAGTCATGTCTTACTGACCAGCAATGTCTTACTGACCAGCCATGTCTTACTGACCAGCCATGTCTTACTGACCAGCCATGTCTTACTGACCAGCCATGTCTTACTGACCAGCAATGTCTTACTGACCAGCAATGTCTTACTGACCAGCAATGTCTTACTGACCAGTCATGTCTTACTGACCAGTCATGTCTTACTGACCAGCAATGTCTTACTGACCAGCAATGTCTTACTGACCAGCAATGTCTTACTGACCAGTCATGTCTTACTGACCAGTCATGTCTTACTGACCAGCCATGTCTTACTGACCAGCCATGTCTTACTGACCAGCCATGTCTTACTGACCAGTCATGTCTTACTGACCAGCAATGTCTTACTGACCAGCAATGTCTTACTGACCAGCAATGTCTTACTGACCAGCCATGTCTTACTGACCAGTCATGGCTTACTGACCAGCAATGTCTTACTGACCAGCAATGTCTTACTGACCAGCCATGTCTTACTGACCAGTCATGGCTTACTGACCAGCCATGTCTTACTGACCAGTCATGTCTTACTGACCAGCCATGTCTTACTGACCAGTCATGGCTTACTGACCTGCAATGTCTTACTGACCAGCCATGTCTTACTGACCAGCAATGTCTTACTGACCAGCCATGTCTTACTGACCAGCAATGTCTTACTGACCAGCAATGTCTTACTGACCAGCCATGTCTTACTGACCAGCCATGTCTTACTGACCAGCCATGTCTTACTGACCAGTCATGGCTTACTGACCAGCAATGTCTTACTGACCAGCCATGTCTTACTGACCAGCAATGTCTTACTGACCAGCAATGTCTTACTGACCAGTCATGTCTTACTGACCAGCAATGTCTTACTGACCAGCAATGTCTTACTGACCAGCAATGTCTTACTGACCAGCAATGTCTTACTGACCAGTCATGTCTTACTGACCAGCAATGTCTTACTGACCAGTCATGTCTTACTGACCAGCCATGTCTTACTGACCAGCCATGTCTTACTGACCAGCCATGTCTTACTGACCAGCAATGTCTTACTGACCAGTCATGTCTTACTGACCAGCAATGTCTTACTGACCAGCCATGTCTTACTGACCAGCCATGTCTTACTGACCAGCAATGTCTTACTGACCAGCAATGTCTTACTGACCAGCAATGTCTTACTGACCAGTCATGTCTTACTGACCAGTCATGTCTTACTGACCAGCAATGTCTTACTGACCAGCCATGTCTTACTGACCAGCCATGTCTTACTGACCAGCCATGTCTTACTGACCAGCCATGTCTTACTGACCAGCCATGTCTTACTGACCAGCAATGTCTTACTGACCAGCAATGTCTTACTGACCAGCAATGTCTTACTGACCAGTCATGTCTTACTGACCAGTCATGTCTTACTGACCAGCCATGTCTTACTGACCAGCAATGTCTTACTGACCAGCAATGTCTTACTGACCAGCCATGTCTTACTGACCAGCCATGTCTTACTGACCAGCCATGTCTTACTGACCAGTCATGGCTTACTGACCAGCAATGTCTTTCTGACCAGCAATGTCTTACTGACCAGCAATGTCTTACTGACCAGCCATGTCTTACTGACCAGCAATGTCTTACTGACCAGCCATGTCTTACTGACCAGCCATGTCTTACTGACCAGTCATGTCTTACTGACCAGCAATGTCTTACTGACCAGCAATGTCTTACTGACCAGCAATGTCTTACTGACCAGCAATGTCTTACTGACCAGCCATGTCTTACTGACCAGCTATGTCTTACTGACCAGTCATGTCTTACTGACCAGCAATGTCTTACTGACCAGCCATGTCTTACTGACCAGCAATGTCTTACTGACCAGCAATGTCTTACTGACCAGCCATGTCTTACTGAACAGTCATGTCTTACTGACCAGTCATGTCTTACTGACCAGTCATGTCTTACTGACCAGCAATGTCTTACTGACCAGCAATGTCTTACTGACCAGCAATGTCTTACTGACCAGCAATGTCTTACTGGCCAGCCATGTCTTACTGACCAGCAATGTCTTACTGACCAGCAATGTCTTACTGACCAGCCATGTCTTACTGACCAGCCATGTCTTACTGACCAGCAATGTCTTACTGACCAGCAATGTCTTACTGACCAGCAATGTCTTACTGACCAGTCATGTCTTACTGACCAGTCATGTCTTACTGACCAGTCATGTCTTACTGACCAGCAATGTCTTACTGACCAGCAATGTCTTACTGACCAGCAATGTCTTACTGACCAGTCATGTCTTACTGACCAGTCATGTCTTACTGACCAGTCATGTCTTACTGACCAGTCATGTCTTACTGACCAGCCATGTCTTACTGACCAGCAATGTCTTACTGACCAGCCATGTCTTACTGACCAGTCATGTCTTACTGACCAGCCATGTCTTACTGACCAGCAATGTCTTACTGACCAGTCATGTCTTACTGACCAGCAATGTCTTACTGACCAGCAATGTCTTACTGACCAGCAATGTCTTACTGACCAGCAATGTCTTACTGACCAGCCATGTCTTACTGACCAGCTATGTCTTACTGACCAGTCATGTCTTACTGACCAGCAATGTCTTACTGACCAGCCATGTCTTACTGACCAGCAATGTCTTACTGACCAGCAATGTCTTACTGACCAGCCATGTCTTACTGACCAGTCATGTCTTACTGACCAGTCATGTCTTACTGACCAGTCATGTCTTACTGACCAGCAATGTCTTACTGACCAGCAATGTCTTACTGACCAGCAATGTCTTACTGACCAGCAATGTCTTACTGGCCAGCCATGTCTTACTGACCAGCAATGTCTTACTGACCAGCAATGTCTTACTGACCAGCCATGTCTTACTGACCAGCCATGTCTTACTGACCAGCCATGTCTTACTGACCAGCAATGTCTTACTGACCAGCAATGTCTTACTGACCAGCCATGTCTTACTGACCAGTCATGTCTTACTGACCAGCAATGTCTTACTGACCAGCAATGTCTTACTGACCAGCAATGTCTTACTGACCAGCAATGTCTTACTGACCAGCCATGTCTTACTGACCAGCTATGTCTTACTGACCAGTCATGTCTTACTGACCAGCAATGTCTTACTGACCAGCCATGTCTTACTGACCAGCAATGTCTTACTGACCAGCAATGTCTTACTGACCAGCCATGTCTTACTGACCAGTCATGTCTTACTGACCAGTCATGTCTTACTGACCAGTCATGTCTTACTGACCAGCAATGTCTTACTGACCAGCAATGTCTTACTGACCAGCAATGTCTTACTGACCAGCAATGTCTTACTGGCCAGCCATGTCTTTCTGACCAGCAATGTCTTACTGACCAGCAATGTCTTACTGACCAGCCATGTCTTACTGACCAGCCATGTCTTACTGACCAGCCATGTCTTACTGACCAGCATGTCTTACTGACCAGTCATGGCTTACTGACCAGCAATGTCTTACTGACCAGCAATGTCTTACTGACCAGCAATGTCTTACTGACCAGCCATGTCTTACTGACCAGCAATGTCTTACTGACCAGCCATGTCTTACTGTCTTACTGACCAGCATGTCTTACTGATGTCTTACTGACCAGCAATGTCTTACTGACCAGCAATGTCTTACTGACCAGCAATGTCTTACTGACCAGCAATGTCTTACTGACCAGCCAGTCATGTCTTACTGACCAGCATGTCTTACTGACCAGCCATGTCTTACTGACCAGCCATGTCTTACTGACCAGCAATGTCTTACTGACCAGCCATGTCTTACTGACCAGTCATGTCTTACTGACCAGTCATGTCTTACTGACCAGTCATGTCTTACTGACCAGCACTGACCAGCAATGTCTTACTGACCAGCAATGTCTTACTGACCAGCAATGTCTTACTGACCAGCAATGTCTTACTGACCAGCAATGTCTTACTGACCAGCCATGTCTTACTGACCAGCCATGTCTTACTGACCAGCTATGTCTTACTGACCAGTCATGTCTTACTGACCAGCAATGTCTTACTGACCAGCCATGTCTTACTGACCAGCAATGTCTTACTGACCAGCAATGTCTTACTGACCAGCCATGTCTTACTGACCAGTCATGTCTTACTGACCAGTCATGTCTTACTGACCAGCAATGTCTTACTGACCAGCAATGTCTTACTGACCAGCAATGTCTTACTGACCAGCAATGTCTTACTGACCAGCAATGTCTTACTGACCAGCCATGTCTTACTGACCAGCAATGTCTTACTGACCAGCAATGTCTTACTGACCAGCCATGTCTTACTGACCAGCCATGTCTTACTGACCAGCAATGTCTTACTGACCAGCAATGTCTTACTGACCAGCAATGTCTTACTGACCAGTCATGTCTTACTGACCAGTCATGTCTTACTGACCAGTCATGTCTTACTGACCAGCAATGTCTTACTGACCAGCAATGTCTTACTGACCAGCAATGTCTTACTGACCAGTCATGTCTTACTGACCAGTCATGT